TAAACTTTAGTTTCCGCAAAGTATTGCGAAGGACAAGCTCAAAATTAGTTTGCTTTCCATATGAACTTAGTTCTTACAGAGAACCAAAAATATTTTACAGATAGTAAAACCCAAGATTGATTGCCTTCCATATAAACCTTAGTTTCCGTAAAGGCGTAAAGCCTAATAATTGAAGAGATCTAACGCCAATCGTACCGTACGTATTATTATTGATTTATTATTTATTTCCCAAAATAAAAATAATGATTCGTTTTAATCGGGTTTACATCCGGATTTAATCTGAATCCGAAGGAAATCGGATTTAAATCCGAAGGTCGAATCCGGTTCCAAACTCTATCCACAATAGTCTCTGTCATAATATCGAAACGATTAAAATCTGCTAAAACGACATATAGTAAATTCCGGTCATCCAAAATGTCGTTCTTGATGCTTGATTATTGCGATTAAAGAACAATAGTAAAATAAGCAAAATTTATTAGTTATTTAATGCTATTGTTTTTGTTAATATATTACTTTTAATTTAGATAGATCAAAAAACGACAATGTTGCATACGAATGTGTTACTCTATTTAATGTAAGGGACAAAGTTTATTGTAATGAAATTATAATTCATTAATAATTTGACCAAATTAAAATTGGTTCATTACATAATGTTATTTGAAAATTGCTTACCAAATTATTAAAAGATAATGATTTCTATATTAAGTCTCATAAGATCGAAAACACTTAAACGGTGGGTCAGCCACTCCTTTAAAATGAACTTTATATAACAAACGATGGATTGGATCAAAGGAGACGTCAAATTTGGTTAGTGGTCTTGGTACGAATTCGGGATAGTTCACACTACTCTGAGATTAACAACTACCAATAACCCTCACTACGTCGAGACTGCTGGACAATATGAATAGGATTTTAGTAATAGTTTGGGGTTATATTTATGTATTTTAACATTGATTTTTTGCACCGGTAGCGATCACATTCGACAGCCATTTTACCGACTAGTCGGTTAACCGACAATAACTTAGAGTGACAACTTAACGTATTATTAGTTTTAACTATATTATTTATAAATTGTCACGTTATGAGATGTCAGTTGAATGACTTAATTGTCATCCATAGAAGGATTCATTGTGAAAAATCCACTTTACTATTGGTGCCAATGGCGCATATGTTTATATATCTATCCTAATCATCCTAAGCGAAATTTATAGCCAATGCAACAAACATGACATTTTCCCTGTACATCTTATCCATCTGATTTGATACCTTTCTATCAGCCATTCGCGTTCATCATAATCGTTGTATACAAACTATCGGTTGCATACGATGGATGGGACAGTTTTTTAGAATAAATTCCCAAATTCCAGATCTGAATTCATCAACTACGTTTAAAGCAAAAATTGTTAGTTGGGCATTTTACTTGATGAATGAGCTAATTCTAGTTCTTTCAACCCGGAGATTGTTATGTAGTTTAATTATATAAATCATGTATCCCTGAAATTTCAAAAATTACACATCATTATCTTAAATTGATAATATAATTTTGCAAGTCCAAATGTAACCATATATATGCATTACAGCTTTACTAGTATAAAAACCTACAAGATTGCCTTACCTTTGATAAAGGTTTCTCAACAATACAATTTAGCCACAGTTTCTTTTATAATACGCGATTAGGTCTTTAGATTATTCTAAACTTTAAAACAATATTTTTCAACAATGAACTTATCTAAATTCAGTTTTCGTTTAGAAAAATTTAGTCATAGTATCTTTGACCAAATTCAAATGAATTCACTGATTAAAAAAAAAAAAAATCCGCAAATTACGTGAATAGCATGTCATATGGTGACGATCTGATCTAATTAAAAATTGATAAATATATCATACGTGTTATTGAGTTTCGATTTTTAAATAATGCTTATGTGTTATTTTCTCAAATACGGTAAAAAGAGCTCCGCTATAATTCCCAGGAAACAACTTTACATATTATAACAGGCTGAATAAACCGATTTTACAAGCAATATCACAAAAGGAAAGAATGAAAAGTCGCTAATGAACCTGATTATATCAGATTAAATTTGTCAGAACCAAGTAACAGCCGCAACTCCATAAATGCCCACTCTATATAAATGCAAGGCTATGTAAAACCACTTTAAATGCACGGTATAGTCTGGCCCTATCTTATAAATGCACTATATTTTTTGCTCTCTATAAATGCACATCCTTTCTAAATACGCATATTAGAATTTTTTCACCTCAAGGGTAGTACACTTAGAGAGTTGTGACTGCATACAAATTTATGACTTGTTATTTGCAAGTAATAAATTTACATAAACTTAATAAATAGCTAACGAAACTTAAAAAGGGTTGTTCTTCAACGTTTTTGCTTCTGGCAAATTTAATCTGATATAATCAGATTCGTTAGCGACTTTTCAAACTTTAACTCGTTATAACTTTTTAAAACAAACTAAATCAAAACCCTCTGACAAATTGATAGTTTTTTAACTAAACTACATTTCTGTTAGAGATTTTTTTTCTTTGTTGTTTTAAAAAAGTTATAAGAGGTTAAAGTTTATAATGGTTTAAAAAATTGACATTTATTATAATATAAAAAAAAAAGATATATATTTAGAGACTTATTAATGCCACCCCCTACATAGCTCTAATTGGCCTTTAACCTTTCCAGAAACTCTATGAACAATGTTTCTAAATACTATTTGTAGAATTTTCAAGATTTTAGACCGGTATTAACAAAAGTGGGGGTGGCATTAACAGTTCTCTATATTTAATTAACCAATCAGAATCAATTACACAAAAATTAGCCAATCAAAATTGATTATGTAAGCATCAAAAATTGGCGCTCTATCGCTATAGCTGTCCGTCCGTTCCATACTATGGGGTCTTTGCCTTGAAAATCACCTTACGACATTTTCCGATCGGGCTAATTCGGACAAAACAGACCAAAATATCGGTTTGTATTTATATGCGAATCACATTTGACCTTTATTTATTCGATAGTTTATTGAATAGACTATTGAATCATAAGTAAAATGTGATTCACGTATAAATACAAACCGGTATTTTGGTCTGTTTTGTCCGAATTAGCCCGATCGGAAACTGTTGTAAGGTGATTTTCAAGGCAAAGACCCAGAACAATTACTCTAAGCAGCCAATGAAATTCAAGGATCGACAACCAATCAGATGGATTTTTAATCATGCTTAGTGCACCAAGATAGCACCAAGATCAGTTCCAGATTCTAAATCATCGGACAATTAGAGCCAGACTTGCTGATTGGCTATTCCTTTTTAGAGGTTTATATTGCGAAATACAACTATAGGACCAGACTTGCTGATTGGCTATTCCCTTTTAGAGGTTTATATTGCGAAATACGCTATACAACTATAGGATAACTCACTCGTAATTGGTTGATTACATGAAATTTATCATTGGTTATAAAGCTAACGCTAACATGCACTTGTAAACTACTAATTCGTAAGTCGGCTAGGGCGTCACCAAAGTGCAATTACACACAGCATATAATATAAAATTACAATCGACAAGTGTCAATATCACTAATTCGTAGTGTAGTTTTCCTATAACCAAAGAGAGTAAACTACGGTACTAAATAGAAAAAACATATTTTTTTTAAAGACACCATATAACATATCGGCGGATTTGTGGAATTGGGTCATAGTGAAACAATGTGATTGTATTGTTAAATCCGGGGACCCTAATTTATATCCAATTCCGCAAATTCGCCGATATAATTAGTTTTGATTGGCTAATACGTAAAACATAGCAATTCTTTTTTATAAAATAATGGTAGCGAAGAAATGTGAACCATGTGATCACCGACCCTACCAAGACTTTCATACGATTGACTGCTTAAATCAGTTTAAAGTACTTTTCAAAAAAAAAAAATCTAACTATACAGTATACAAAAGAATAAAGTCGTAGGACTCCATATTAAAAATATTAAAAATAGAATTAGGTTATTATCATGAATTGTTTTCTATTTATTCTTTGTAATTTGATTTTGTTTTTTTTTAAAAAAAAACTTTAAACTGTGTAAAATTAAATTGATTTAAACAACCAATCATATGAAAGTCTTTCTATGATCCTACCATTCATTAACTCACAAAGATCAGAATGCATCGGAATCAAGGTCGGATGGGCCGATGTTGATTAATTTCACTAAAAATTTTACTAATAAAGTCATAGCCTACTCATTAACGTTAATAATTTTACTATCGCTATGGGTCATTTGGGGTCATTTGAGGTCATTGAGGGTCATTTGAAGGTCATTTACCATCCCTGCTATGGGCTATGTTTGTTATCTTAATGCCGGCCCACATTCTGACCCGGATTTTTGGGGACTTGTAAAAAATGATTGTCGCGGAAACGGCTGAAGCTGGAAATTTTAAATACTTCATGAATTTTTTAAAAAATTTTTGGGGTGCATTTTTTTTTTTTTATACAGTAGTTAGCTTATGATTTAGGGTTAGTTTTGATTATAAAAATGTATAAGTGGATTTTGGTAGGCTGCTTCAGCCGCGACAAAAGCAAGTTCAAATTATTTTATATTAGCATAATTTCACATAATTAAGAATTGTATCGCATAACTTGCCCCTTCGCGTAATGCTCGGGTCCGTATATTTAATACTTTTGTAAAAAAAGATCATACGTACGTAATATGTACGTAGTGTACTTACGTCCGTAACATGGATCAAAAATTTAAGGTAATTAAAAATGCGCAACGCGTGAACGTGCTCATATAGCATAACTCGTGTTGCACGTACGTATGTATGTACATAAAAGCGGTCCGAAGATCAGTCGAGGAACCGCAGCAAAAAGATAAAAATAAAGTTATGAAACTCTTGAGTTTGAATTTGAACATTACCTCTTTGCCATTCCGTTTTGTACAAAGCATTTTAATTTTTTTTCTAATTAAGTCATTTATATAAACAAAATATTCGAAACTCATTAAACATAAGTTGTTATGGAAGAGACCTCGAGTTCTATTACAAAGTTTGTAGAGGTACCTCGATTAGACGTAACTCAGGCAACGGAAGCTGAAATAATTGACAAAGTCCACAAACTATGTGTTGAGCAAGGAATTCCGCTTGTGCTTGAAAACTATCACTTAAAAAAGGAATTTGACGCAGAGTTGTTTACCAAAGAATGGATTCAACGAAATTGTGGTGACCAAGGTATGTTTTTTAAATAATTTTGCTCAAAGTGTAGTTACCTTTATCGAGTAGGTTGCCTTCCTGAATACCATTCATTCATTCGTTTATTGATAGGATACGTTTAATCTTTTTTCCTTTTTTCTATTTAATGGAATAGAGATAGCTGCTCGTGATGTAAATAATATATTGGATGAACAGATGAAATTATCGGATTATTTAGATTATGTTGAGAAAGTTTCAAAGAACACGGAACCTATGCAACAAAAGTTATATGCAAAAGATGTTACATGTCCGATTGTGTGGAAAGATTATATTGGTAGTTTTTTGCCAAGTTATTTTAGGTACAACGGAAATAATGATTTAATGTGTAAGTATTAATATCGAAACTATTTTTACGATTTTTACAATTACATTTGACATTCATAAATTTTACAAATCTGAATCATAGCAAACCTGGCACCTGATCTTCGAGCTGAAAATCTCATGATTTATATTGGAGTTGGTGGAACAAAGTGTGTGTTATAACATTCTTGATAATAATCTTTCATTTTGTTTTTCTCCACTTTGAATGATCTTATTTTTTTTTAAAAAAAGTACACCATTGCACAAAGATATGTGCTCTTCATTCGGTCACAATATAATGGTTTATGCGGATCCAGGTATTTGATGTCTTTGTAA